TTTCATTGATAAAGTTTACAGCACCAAAACCTACCAGGACAAAGGTAGTAGTACTGCAGGCAGCACACAAGGAGACATCAAACCCCCCATCTGCGCACACCCTGCTAATAAGTTACAGAAAAACCCAAGGAGGCACAGGCAAGTTAACTTTTCTGCTTATTACTTATTTGCAATAAGTTTATGTACATATTTACTAGTTTACTAGAATTTACATTGTGCCGATACGCCTTTTTTGTTTATTCAGAAAATAAAATAGTAAGAGTTGGCGAAATCTTTTCTTTTCTTATTCTATGTTTTACAATATTTGATATACGGATAATACTAGTGCTTTTGCAATATTGCCATCATGAGCTGTACACTGTGCAACACCAAAAAGAAAAAAATAAATAACATTCCTTAGTTAATTAACACTACTATATATTATGTACCAATACTTATATAGTTTTCACTAGTCACATAAGGAACTCATTATTTGAAATAATTTTACAAGGACAACCAAAAAAAAAAAAAAGAAAGGAAAAAATGTTCTTCAAAATTAATATTGTATTATATTAATACAAGAACGTTATTAATTTGTATATGAATGTATTAGTAAATGCTTGGGTTATTTGTTTAAATTAATGTTAATGGTTTTTTATTAAGAATTTTGTTGCTTTTATCACAGTAGTAATTCCATGGATTTACTAGCTATTTTACCCAAATGTTAATTTTAATGATAGCAGTGTTGCCTCGAAACTTAAGATTATGGGCATGTTTTTAAACGTTGCCTAAGCAACACACCATATATATTTAGACAGGGGCGGAGGGTAATGGATATTGGATTTTGAAAATTTTCACTTATTTTATATATATTTTTAACGATTTTTCAAATTTTTTTAAAATTTTTATTTATTATATTCTTTTAATGCATCTCAAAGTAATTTTTTATTTAATAATTAATATAATTAAAAAATAATAAAATAATTCCACAAATCATACTCAATTTTACCCTAATTTAAGTTACTCCACATCTTTTTCTCTCTTTCTCTTTTTTTGAAAGTTAAGAAATTCATTGATAAAAGGGATAAATAAATCTCCCCCTTCTTTTTTTTTTTTTTACATTTTACTATTTTCTTTATAACTCACCACTAAACCACACTTCATTCTTCAAAAAAAATTTATAAGCTTGTGAGTTTGGACAAGAAAGAATAAAGACCACTCAGCACTATAATATGAAATTAAGAGGAGGTAAAGTTTTTTTTTTAATAATCTTCTTCCTTTTATTTATATTTTTTAACTATTTATATATTTAATTATTGGGTGAAATCTTGTTTATCATATTTAACTATTTATATTTTATATATTATAGTTTTATATTTAATATTTTAAGTTTAATTAGAAATAAAATAAATAATGAGTTTCTTGTATATAACTTAGTTGTTTATATTGAGAAAGATATTATTAGCCTTAAAAAGTACAAACTCTATAATTAATGAATTTGAATTCAAAATATATTGTCAAGCATAAATTTTTTAAAAATTATTATAATTCTTTTTTTATTTTCATATTATATAAAATTATGACTTAGTATAATTTTTTTTATTATTAATTAAATTATACATATTAGTCTTAAAAATATTTAACTCTTATTCCTTTTCCACGATAACCCCCTCAACAAAAATTGATTAACTTTGCCCTTATATTTAGAGACCCACTTCTGCTAAATGTAGTAGCAGGCGCACACATAAGACCACATGTTTTGCCAGTTTGCGTTCAGGGGCAGAGAAATTCTTGCACTTCATGATGCTTTGTTACGTGAAGAATCCAATGTTTTTTCACGTCAAGATGAGATCCTGTTGTCATTGTTTTGTTAGCCAAACATAGCACCACTCCTATACATGATTGTCTCTAGTCGATGTCTTAGTTCTGCCTCAACAGGAGATACCCTAATAATATTCTAGCAAACTCACTAGCCTATGTTTCATCCTTATGTTGTTGTTTTTATCCTCTTTCTTGGATATCTACATCTTGGACTGATCAGCCCTACGCTTTGTTCAAGAGCCTGAAAATGGACGCTAGAGGAAGCAATCAGGCTGGTTATTGCCCTGCATTGTTCCAATTCACTGTTGCAATACCCAAAAATGAAGCATTGCACCATGCAATAATGTAATGAAAAAAATGTTGACATATCTGAGCTGCATATTTGTTTTTGAAAAACACTGTTTTACTCTTGAATGGTATGAAAATTATTCGAAAACTATCATATTCCTTAATTAATTCTAAAAGCATCCGTCTAAATTTAGTGAAAAAAAAAAACTAGTAGTGGTAGTATTTATTTTTGAAAGTTGAGGAAAATTTCAGACATGTAGGGAAGATGCAGTATCCTGAAGTACCTCAACCCCATCAAATGATGGAGGAAAAGGGCCGTGGCCAGAGCCAAATGCTTTGATGTGGTCTTTGAGTGATCTCTTATGCTTGAAATCAGAACCGCAGACGCAAAGCCAACGCTTGCCACAATTTTTCTCATGGGTTCTCCAGTCACCTTTCACTGCCAAGAACTTCCCGCACTTGCGGCACATAAAGGGTTTCAGCCCATGTTTCCTCTTATAATGTGTTTGCAATGTCCTAAAATCTTTTAGCGGCTTTGCTCTCGGGTGTTCGATGTTGTTTTTGCATCCTTCCGCACAGCAGTAGCATGGAATGCCTAGCATGGCTCGCGGTTGGGTTCCTTTGAGGGACTCAGGCCCTTTACGGTACTGTGAACCATGACCCCACATGTGCATCTGCCATAGAAATCAAAGCATATTCAAGAGGTAAGTCAGTCAGGCAAGCACAGACAATAGCATGGAATTTGATGTTAAAATGTTGCAGAGTAATTGCACCTGAAGGTTATTGTAACGGTTGAAGGTCTTAAAGCAGACATGGCAAGAAAAATTTGTGAAGCCAATGAGGATTTGTTCAGGAGTCGGGATCCAATACTGTTTAGCAGCTCCATTTGCGGTGTCCTTGCCATTTGGACTGATTGGGGTATTGGAAGGATCAGGAAGGCCAATGTGCAAGGCTACGGTGACATCCTCTTTATCTTCACTGCATTCTGCTTTAGGGTTATCATCTAATGTTGCGTCGCTAGAGCCAAGAAAGCAGCTCAGCAATGGCATAGGCTCAAGTGAATTTTTCATTGCGCCTGGAAAGAGATCAAGAGGCTCAACATCAGTGTGGTAATTTGTACTAGAAACAAGATCAGAATCATACGAAATATCTGAAGGCTCCATGACATAAAGGGCCGCAAGAGAATACTAGTACAAAGAAGAATGTGGCTTTTATTTATTTAATTTGGGAGGTTTTTATAATTGGATTCTGGCCAATTTTACAGGGTGATCATGAGAATTAAAGTCTTTGGCAACAGAAAAAAGTTGAGAGAGAACGAGAATTGAGGTAGGGTGGCTGGAGAATAATGCAGTTGAACGACAACAACCTTTGTGAAGGGGCTCATAAATATCTCCTGCTTTTTATGTTTATCTACTCTTGGGATGGAAGGGAAGTACCTTAAATTCTGTGGCCCAAGGCTTCTGACTTTAGCAAGAGTTGCATTACAGAAGGTTGAAATTCTATGGCAATGTATTATATAGTCTGGTTTACTCTCACCAGTAGTCAACACCACCTTGGGCATTAGATTGACAATTCCTTGCAGGGATGAAATGATTCTATTTCTACTTAGGGACTATGACTCTGAAAATCTTTTTCCTTTTTGTTTTTGCTTTTTTATTTACATGTCTTTTCAACATTCACATCATACCGTTGGATATTCATAATAATCGAGTTAAGAAGAAAACTCTAATTCCATAGTCAATATGTAAAATAAATTGGACAAAGTGCACAAAAATAACTGTGACGGTGAATTCATGAGGATATAGGCATATAGCCTTACTTTGAAAACAGGTTTTCCTGTGTGCACGGATGTACCTGGTATGCATACAATTACATAGACAAATGATGACTAGTCCACTCAACTTAGCATGAAGCTAGCTAGCTATGAGCTACCTGTGGCCCTTTTGGCAGGCAATGCATGGTCAGGAAATTTGTTGCTAAAGTAATGATCTTGTTCTTGTGTCATCCACGATGCAGAAACCCTAGCCCCGGACTACCAAAACTAACACTAGCTACTAATTTTTGAAGCCCCAGTGCCTGAATTTGGCTGCAGAGGCAAAGGTGACAAACACTGGTAGTGGCAAAATTGTTTATTGCGGAATTGCTTTGTTGGACCCATCTGATCATAAAACTGGAAAGAGAGTGGCACAACTGAACTAGTGTGCCAATAGTTGACTAATGTTCTATAACTAATCTCCATTTAAGACACTAGCCAGCAGAATATATTGTAAAATGAACTGTTTTGATAAATTTATAGTCCATCACCTCCAAGGAGGCTCGCTTTTTACCATAATTTAACCTTGAGATAGCTCTATGGTGAAACTTCTGGCTTAATTTGAGTACCACGGTACTAACTTTGTTTATGGTACTAATTTTGAAAGACTAATTATTTTCCCCTCACATTGGGTGTTTCAATTCCCTAAATGATTGAAATATCGACAAAAGTGGAATAGAGAAATGCCTTGCTGGACTTATAAAAGCTACATCATCTAGATAATTGCTGGAAAAGGGCACATTTTCATTTTCCCTCATCTGGGCAGTATCCAGGGGCACATATTTATTGAACGAACACCACCATGCAAAGGATGGTCTGCGAGTTGTTACGAAGCAAATCTTCTCTATGGATTTTCTTGGATATTAACACCAAGAACAAGAGCCATAGATGTAAATGAGCTATTACTGCTCTCCAATAACCTGATTATCCCACTGTTTTCAAACACAAATTCCCAGTAATACTCACTGTGGCCAAAAAAATCAATTTAAAATCGTGAAAACATATTGATAACTAAACAAAATTACCAACCAGAGGGAACCAAACTGAATTTATCATTTCAGTTCAGTCCGGTCTGGTTTCAGCACACCTTTGAACTACAACCAAAGCATATATTGTAGCAATGACGATTGTATGTCTAGAGTTTGTCCATGTTACCCTCATGATGTCATTGAATATCGTGCAGCTTTGTTTTCTATCACCCTCCACAGACCAAAAAAAAAAAACAAAAGAACAAAATGATGATGAGAGCTAAATTGTTAATCAAAATTTTTTTATTGAGGGAATGCGCTTCCCTCCGTTCGTTCATAGTTCATACAATTCTGTAAAGGATGTTAAACTCTTAATGAATGAATCACTTCATGAAAACTTTTGGGGGAAAAAATAGATGATTTTTTTTTTTTTTTGCCTTGAGAACTAAAGTGGAAAAAAATATGCATAAGGTGGTTGATTAGTCCTCCTTTTCCTGCCATGGGCCATAGCTGTGGTGAACACAGGCAGTATCGTGATGCAGTACCCACCCTATTGCCAAATCGTTGAGAATATAAGAGTGAAATAAGGTGATAAGAAGAACACAAACTTATCAAGATTGTACAATTTGAACATTTTGGCAGGGATGAGTTCTTCCCCTTAAGTTTTTGGACTTTCAGAAGTGATGTCCCCAGCTTCTGTTTCTGTGGAGGTTTGCTGTGGAGTCTGTGAATCTGAGACCAAAATCAGTAATAAAGTTTATGATGAGCATATTTATGTGAAAACAACAAACTAATGAGAGAGATGGAGTCTAATTTAAATTGTGTATATATATGTCCACAGTTACAGAAACAATGCCCCGCAAGTGATGTCTCACTGAGAAACAGGGGCCCTCTGCCTGCCTAGCTTGCAAGTTAAGTCCTTATACATCACACTGGCCTGGGGGCATTGTAAATTTAGAAATCTAATGGCCATGCAACTACTATAAGAATATAGAGTCACTCTTTTACTGAACATTGATACAGCTACCAAAGACTCAGCATACAAAATGAAGACAATTTGGGTTAGTACTGTTAAATTTAATGGGGGTTTCAAGACAATTTTTGGCAATCTTTCTTCCTCAAATTACACAAATATGTAAAGTCATTTTTTTTAGACCGTCACATCTGAAGAGAGATTATGTGTTTGATCAGTCCAGTAGAAATGAAGAAGTGAATAATTTTGCCACTAAAATTTGGTTAAACCAAATCATATGGGAATAAAAGGAATGGTTAAAACAATGGCAGTGCATAACATGGTTAGTGGGCCTCTCCATATTCGACCACTTGACTGCATGATCAGAATCAACCATCATCCTTGATACTGAAACCACATGCAGTCACTATTAGTTTACACTATGCTTCTCTGTCATGACTTTCTATTGACCCATCTTTGGGCCATGGCAATAACCAGACAGCTCATTCACATGTTTGACGTTGCCCATGTGGCCCCGTCCCACCCCACCCCCTCTCCCCCCCCCTTGGCGTATGCTCCACTAAACCCTAAATCTCTATATTATCTGTGTCAGAGTGTGTATGTGAAAATCAGAGGAAGAAGAGAGATAATTACTTCTTAAGAATCAATACAATAAGTTCATAACTTCTACGTACAGCATTGGAAAAGTTGATAATTTTATGTTGGGATAAAATGGTCGTTAAAAAATGAAAGGAACAGTGACTGATGAAAAGTTTTATTTACCTGTGGAAGAGGGAAAAGGATGCCTAGTGAGATGAAAGGGCGGGGGAGGATAGGTGGAGAAGGACCCCTCCATCTGAGTAGGATAGTAGAGATAGGACGGTCCGGGGATACGTTGAGCCTGGGGTGCAGAAAATGTTCCCCTAGGGGCTTGCAAAGAATACCCATAATAATATGGAGACCCCATTGTGGTAGATGATGATCCATACAGCTGATGATAGTATTGTGGCTGCTGAATTTGTGGATTATAGAGAGCCTGCAGCATTCCCATTCAATAACATTCTTACCATACATTCTTGGCTCAAGTTGTATTTGCTTAATATTGAACAAATACAACTTATAATTATTACTGGTTTGAGCCGAATTATGATCTCAAGAAATTGACAGAGAGAGAGGTTTAATAACTTACTTGGTGATAGCCATAGTCAGGACTGTAAGTTGGGTACCTGTAAAGGTGGAATTCATCAAAATTTTAGTGGAAATAGGAACAAACTACTTGAAATTAAAATTTAAAGAGAAACAAAAAATTTCCCTTGGAAGTAATTGCAAAAAGCAGAATCCTTACATAATAAGGAATTAATGGTAGCTAGCAAAAGGGACTTATTGCAAAGCTACCTTAAGGTCCTACCATGATAGCAATTGTTAGTACTAATGACAACATGGCCTATGGTAGGTACTGAATATTAATTCAAGGTGTTGATCTAATAAAGTTTTATACTCTAGTACCAAGATATCTAAGGACAATATTTGTGTGTGTGTGTATATATATATAAAAGATACCTGATCTACAAATATATTTTAGTCAGGAATATTTCCTAGTACTAATAACTAGTCTTCTACTGATATATCTTTTCCTTTTCACACCGAAATATATACATTCGTATTGGTAGTTGCTGTCCGTACGCTCGTGCCCATAGTTCCTTATTCTATTACTGAGCTCGTGAAGATTAACTGTCAGAAGGTAACATCTTTTGATTTTCCCCTCAAAATAAATAAATGCAGCTAGTAAATATGGGAAAAGTGGGAAAGAAAATGGGTATGCATGAATGTTAGATGATAAGGAAAAATCTAGCTCAAGCTTCTACTGAAATTTAAACACAGATAGAAACAGAGGCAAGGGTAATTGGATTTCATCATTTTACACTTGATTTCCATGCTTTTAACCATTTTTATTTATGTGGTTGTTGTTTTTGTACCGCATTTACTGGCAAAACCCAAAGTAAACGTTCAGAGTCACAAAAGTTAAAACCAATTAAGAGGAATTGGTCTTTTCTTTAATTGGAACTGTAATTAAATTCTTCTACACATCGAAATGTTAACTGTAAATGAGCTGGATCATTACTTGAAACTCTCTTGGCAGATGAGGGCATTGAACAAGTTAATTATTATAACCTTAATTTTTATTTCTTAACAGTATTTTGCTTTTACTCTGAGCTGCCAAGGACTATAAGCAAATAGAAAGTTTACAGTACAGAGCATTAATTAGCAGGCTAAAAATGGATCTCTTTGCATAAACTCTTCTTTCTACATCATTTGGGACCACTTTGATGTTTACATTTGGCACTACAAAGCATTAGCCATAGTTTCTGCTAAACTTGCTGGATTTCCAATTTTGATTTACTGACTTAATTTTCTTACACCATAGGAATTAAACTACACTATACATTGGTTAAATACGTGGAAATATGACCATTTATAATAAGGGATTACAAACTCAAATGTATATATCAGGATCATTGATGTCCATAACTCTTCATTGTTTCTTAATTAGTATAAAACTAATCAAGGATTCTGCCCCTCTGATTAACATTTTTCATTTGTTGTTTTGGCCACAGCAATGCCCCAAGCCCTTTTAAGGCTTAGTTTTATGCCAGTATGCCACGTTACACCATTGACTGCATTGATATTGTAAGGTTCGCACTGTTTTATCTTAGTAAATGACAAATTTCTAGTCGAATGCAATATCGATTTACTATGCACAGACTGATAGGCCAACTGTATTGTGGAAAGACAAAATTAAATATAATTCAAGATTAACATTAACATGTCTAAAGCAAAAGTTTTCAAGGGATGGAGAGCTTCATCTAAGTAGAGCATGAACAGTAATCAATAGCTTGAGTGAAAACAACAGGAGTACTCACCCATAAGGTGGATAAATGACAGGAGGTGGTGGTGGAGGAGGCGGAGGAACTGGTGCTGCAACTCCACTATAAGATGGCGCACCTTGCTGTGCAACTCCCTGATAAGGACTGCTACCCTGATTTCTTCCTGCATTAAAAACCCAGCATATCCAACTCATTATTGTCATCATCTTTTTCAACTTGCAATAATTGAATGGGGAAATGTGCAGCTCATATCAAAAAGAGTATGAGGACCTCGTGGCGGTGAAGGTCTAGGCCTTCCAAGTGAAGCAATGTTACAATTTGCTCTTCTTCCATCAATTACAGGGTTTGGATCAACACAAGCCCTCCTCGCTGATTCAGGGTCACAGAAAGTAACCTACAAAAAAGCGGTAATAATTTTTTTCAAACATCTTAAGGCACAAGAAACTTAGCCATTAAGGAAACTGGCATATGAGAACAAATTGGAAAAACTTACAAAGCCATATCCTTTAGATTTCCCTGTGTTTTTATCAGTGATGATAACAGCTTCGAGAATCTCTCCAAACTGCTCAAAATATCTCCTCATTTCCTCCGTTGGTGTCTCCCAAGCTAGTCCCCCAACGAACACTTTTGTCAAGGTTGTGTCACCAAAAGGTGATCGGTAATGCGGGTAAGCCATGGCATCTAAACAAACAAAATGTCAAACGGACAACTTTCCTTTTGCATGAACTCTTTGGGTTGTATCACATTTACAGTTGACAAGAATGGAGAAAGCTGAATCTTCTGTTCCACCTCATTCCCTTTGCTTGTTGCTCTCCTACTGTGCTTGTCCCTATATCCATTCCCGGCCCCTTTTTTACCACAAAAGAATCATTGAAGAGGGACAGAGAATGAGATGAAGCCTAGTTTATGATGTTATAGAAGTTGTTGCTGTTGTTATTATTTGATGGGTTGGTTAATAAAAGAGAAAGCCAGAAAGGGGAAAAGAAAAAAGTAGTAGTTTAAAGACAGAGAGAGAGACACAGAGAGAGAAAGAGAGAGTAACCCGACAGCTGCAAACGCTAATTTGCTGTCTATTGAGATATTGAGAGAGGGAAGGGAGGGGTTGGCTTTGTAATATCGAACGACAGCTGCGTGACTGAACGCACTTGACCCTGTCTCTCCTGTATCTGCATTAATATACTCTCCCAACCCCTCAATCAATAGTCCTTAGTTGTGTTTTGTGGTTTTTTCTGTATGTTGTCTTTTGAGTCCTGCCTCAGAACAACTCTTTTTCAGCTTCCTAAATCTTTATTTTTGCATGACATGTACTCTTAGTTGTTTTTTTTTTATTGATGCAAAATTAAAATTTGGTGAGGCCTTTCACTGTGGGGTATATCTGCATGTTAACCAAAATCATCTGGCACATAATAATACGAATCTGAATTTACAGAAATAAATTATTAAATGTGATTGGTGTGTCTTGACCAAACCTAGAACAACATTGGTGATTACTCTTGGAGGAGCAATAAAAATTTAAAAAAAAAACAACCTATACAAAATTAACAGTGATTGCTGGCCTAATATATATTTTCTTTAAGCAATAGACTAAAGAGAACCTCACCTGGTCCACGCTGGTAGAGCATTTAGAAATCAACTAATCATCATTTGATAAGGACTTTAATTTGACTCCCTAATACACCCACTTCTTTCATACAAAAAGATCTAGATTCCAAGTTCATGTTTAAGCACTAAGAGTATCCTTGATATGTAGAAATTTAATAATCTTAATTAGAGTTAGGGATTGTGAATTTCTTTCTCCATTCTAAGCATTAATTGTCGGTAAAATGCATAGATACATCCTCGCATATTCCCACATGAACCCATGTTCCTAACCCTCCTCTAATCATAAGCTGTTGTATACAAAGCCAACTTCCAAACAACAAAAAGCAAAGAATATAACAGTTAAGATCACAATAAATATTAATCAGTGAGTGGTGATAGATAATCATGTGCAAACGAGGGGGTCATGGGGCGGCTGCGTTGAAAACAAAATCACAAACCCAATAATATATAATAGAATTTTTTGCTAACCATCTCAGCAGATATCATTCCCCATTTGGTCAATCATAATAAACAAAGTTTGATGCCAAGCAAAGTGTTTGGGATTAGCAATGTTTTTATATTGGTTAATGGATGACCATTATATTGTCCAAAACCCTCGCGAGAAGCACAATGTCTTGCCTACTATTCGTGCGGAAAGGGGGGCTTTCGGCTTTTGAAGGATTCTTCCACATTTCCCAATTGGAAATGCATGCTTGTCATATCCCTTGTTGTAAAGCTAGCCTGGTTTTAAAGGACAACGGAGCTCTCTCTAAACAAAGCTTTTTGCTGATGAGAAGAGAAGCGCACGCACAGCACAGGCAAAGAACGGAGGATAAAAAATAAAAGGGGTCATTTATATTAGCTTTTTGCCAGCGTTAGGGACGAGGAGACAGCTATAAGAACCTCTAGTTTATGAAAACTGCACAAGTCCGTGAACTGGCAGTTCTCTCCACGTGGGGTCGTATCACTGTTTGAGAACAATGAGCTGGATTTCATCTACTTTCTTTCACAACAAAGAATATCATTTCTCTCCTCCTTTTTTTTTTCTTTGAGTTTTATGATTTTCTTTCTTTTCATGGGTGACCCACCCCACTGGCTCCATCAACCAAGCCAATCAAAACGCTATTTAAAGTTGCAGTCCTGAGCATTTCTCAACCCAACGCCCAACACCCAGATATTGTTTTCAGAAAAATAAAGCATTTTTTCTCCAATATTCTTTCCTCAGAGTCTGCCATTTATGGTAGTCATGCTTCAATTCTCCCACCACCAAGAAGATTGCCCCTTTTTTTGAGTGTAACTTGTGAACCACTGTTCCATTACCTGAAAACCAAAAAGCTTATTTCCTTTCACTTTCTTTTCGATATCTTCGCACTTCTTGTAACATGGAACTCCTAAATCATAATTGCCTTGTGAAAATCCTTTCATCAAATACTTTAGCTCAATTCCTAACGTACGTTTCTAATCAAATATTCTATACTTTAAAAGTTTTTCACCCCATAATAAGTCCATACATTCATTAACCAAGAGGTGGGTTGGAACACATATTGATAATAATTGAGATTAGCATATTAACTTCAACCGGAATTATGAACGTAGTCGCAACAAGATGATTAATTGCAATTGGCCTTTGAAAAAATCTTTGCTCTGTGTTAAAGCAACACCCTAGAGCCATGGAAGGGGACCTACGTCCTGAAAAATCAAAAGCCTTGGTCAAAATTATTGACTTATAGCTGAGCGGTCTTCAGACATTGAGTACAGGTCTACCCCCAGTTGGGTGCAAAAACACATGCTGTTATTTATAGGCAGTAGGGGACATGTCCATCATTTCACTCAAAATAACTTGGCACAATCTCGATCATGAACTACCCTGATGTCTCCTAATAAATGGGAAAAAAAAATAAAGGATGACAAGAAATTAACTGAAAACTTTTAAGCTGCTCTAACTCTTGAGTAAATGTCGTTAATAAATTTACAATGTCTTGTCTGTGAGATAGAATGCAATTAAGCTTGAAGGTGTAGCGTTCAAGACCTATATTCAAAGACCCTAGACTACCTAATCTTGTGTAAATTAATGGGCTTTCAAGATTGGGATGGGGCCTCTCTTCGTGATGCAGAAAACCTAACATTAGGCATTCAGAAATGGATCACCAAACTATGGGGTTCAAATTTATAGTCTTTGTATTCGAATATGGTACTCGTATTTTGCTTGAAACGAGGGAAGGAAGGAGTCCACCAGGTCGAATACATTTCCTGTTTTTCTTCGTACCTTTTTTTTTCTTTACACATGGCTGAAGTCAGTTAACGTTGTTTTGTTGCATAGCAAAACGCAGGCTGACGAAGATTGAAATGGTAGACTCCTTCGCCGGAAGGATGGGTGGCAAGTTGGCAACTATGGGAAATTGACTTGATGAACTGAATTTATTGAGAAGCACGAAATGTTCTACCGTGGGCCGGCAATTTTATGTACATTACCTGCCCAATAATCCAATGGGAAGCCAAAATACCATCAGACTGATTAACAAAAGGGAATGAAAGAAAAATAAAGGTAATTGGATGGAAAAAATAAATGAAAATATTTATATACATATACATATATATATATATATATGTATATGATGAACCTAGAGATCTACCGTCTGCTATCCTGAGCTGAGTAGATAACAATTCTCTCACCCATTCTCATGAGTCGAGATGTGGAACGATGAGGTTGCCCATCACCCCATCAAGGCTGCTAGCCAGCACTACATTTTGGGTGGGCTTAGATTTCTACGTTGCAGCATGTGGTCAAGTTTGGACTAAGCTTGGCATTTGAAACCCTGCAAAGCTTGGATTATTAATTATATTTAGATTTCTAGTTCATAGGTATAACATTTTAGGCATAATGCGTAAATAAGTTTAAATTATTTAAAAATATTTAAATAAGTCTTTATATTTTTATTACATTCAATTAAGTTTTTATATTTTTATTTTAAGTCAAATAAATTTTTATTATTAATGATTAACTAATTGTCATTAGTAAAAATATCACTTATCATTTTATATCTACATAGCACTAATATAACATTACTATAAAGATTGAAAAATATCTCATAATCATGTCATCATGCTATATGATCATCAATTATGATATGTCAGTATTTCGTATCATAATTAATTATAATATTTTAACATACTATATTAGTATCACGCGATATAAATAACAAATGATATTTTAATTAAGTTAATTATTAATCATAAGAGCTTATTTGACTCAAAATAAAAAATATAAAAATTTATTTGATTCAAAATAAAAGTATAAAGATTTGATTAAATGCAATAAAAGTATAAAGGTTTATTTAAATTTTCTTGAATAGTTTAGGAGTTTTTTTTTATATTATGTCAATATTTTAAAGATTATTTGGTACTAAGAATTCAAATTTTATGTTAATTTATAAATTTAAATAGCAAGCTTGAGTTTCAAAAACTAGATCCAGCTGGATTTCGTTTTTCCTTTTTTGAATTAAACCTAGCTGAGGTAAGCTTAATGTCATTGATTGATAATGTTCCATAGAAGTTTAATCCAACAATGAGAGGTTGGCTTTAACGGTTTTAATTTTCTCTTATCACAAGCCATAAGGTTAAGATTGGAGAATGCCCCTTCCTTTTTAAACTTTTCATACTGGCATTATTTGCATAGATAACACGTAATAATTAATTAATAATTAATTATTATGTTTGACGTGATGTAATATTTAATTTTTTTAAATAATAATTATATATTGAACATAGAGGTGTATTATGTTTTTATCTGTATTAAAAAATAATTATATGTTGAACATAAAGTTACATATTGCATAAATTGCTGCAATTAATATAAGTGTATGTTTAATTGAAATTTTATTAACATGTAAAGTTTGTCTTATGTTTAAAACATATATTGTAGATTATAAATACAGAAACTAATTCACATGGATTAGAACCAACAAAAAGGAAAACTGGCATTCGGTACTAAACCTGCCTGAGGCTTATGAATAAGTTATAAGTTGGATCTGTAACCGGACACAGTAACTATCAGCCGCCAATGGGCTGAAAAAATATGGGCTTTTCTTATTTACCAAAGTGTGGGCTGTCCAGA